TTTATTAACGAAACAATTGTTTTATAGAAAAAAACTTTTATAAAAAATATAATAAATGCTTAATTTTTGATACTTACAATCTATATAGATAAAGTACAACTAAATAAAATTACAGATGTTTATATAAATCGTTGAACTGGTTTTCATAATATTCGTACGGTTGTCCTTCTAACAACAGAGATGGCGAAATATAATTTTTAAAAGGCATATTCATCCAATGATTCACAGTTTCTTCCAAAGAAAATGGGAAATTTAAGATTTTTCTTGTACTTTCACTAAACATAATTGAATTGCACTGTGCTAAAATAGTCGATATGTATTTTTCTTTATTTATAAGGTCCTCAGTACCATCTGCAACAAACATATGAATAGTAATTAACAACGGGGCCAACTTACAACAGATTAACAAACTTACAGTTGTTAATTTCTAAATATTTAAATGGTTTTTCTAACTGTTTAAACATTTCCGCACTAATTTTGTCTTGTACAGCTTTCACAAGGCACAGCTCGGGAGGACTGTAAGGATAATCTACTGCAGATGCTACAATTCGAAGAGTGTTCGAGTCCCAGTCTTTACTGTAGGGTAAATCCAACATTACGTTTCTTAAAGGAGCCTTTTCACCGCTGGAATTATACAGACAATAAAAGATTATCTATTGGTATTTACCAGTCGTTTATCTAAACTATCAGATGTGGATCGCGATTCTTGACTCATTAGTCTACATTAGCACGCCTGTTAAGTGATATTTGGTTGGTCATTTACCAATACTGTCTGTGATTTGCTGATAAGGACTAGGAAAAACATTAATCTTAAGATTGGATACTTACTTTATTATTGTGTGACGGTTAAATTCTAATGGAAAATCTGCAAAGACCTCAATTTCCTTGGAAATTAAATAGGAGGACAAAGGGGCAGCCCAATCAACATCTGCAGTGAATTGCTGCTGCTGCTTAGCCAAACTGCAAGTTTCATTCCTTGTTTTGGCCAAAGTAATGCAATTTTCGTTAAAAATGCTGAGCTTGTTTTTTAAATTCTCGACAGCACAGTCCTAAAAGAAAAATAAAAGTAGGGTAAATTGCAATTAAATCCTAATTAGTAGAATAATATAAAAAGTGGTGTTCTTCTAACCAGTGCTTTTTCCACATTTTTCAACTTTTGTTGTACAAAAATGATATCATCGCTGTTATCAGTCTCTTGTTTCAGTTCCTTCAGTTTTTTGTCAGCTAGTAAAAGTGCTGCGTCCAATCCGCTGTCTTTCTGTTCCAGTTTAAAAAAGATTTGCAGTCGGGAAACCTGATTAGGCATCTTATATTGATTCGTTAGGGTTTGCTGAAAATAAAATTTAACTTTAAACCAAAAAGAAAGGAAAAAAAGGAAAAACGTTAGCACTTACAAAGTTTTGGCTTTGTACTCTCTTTACTTCTTCACGAATTTTGCTGCAAATTATATTCGATTTTGTACACATCAGCTCATACTCGACATATTTTGCGCGCAGTTTTACTAGATGAAGTTCTTCATTGTAAATTTCTGGTTTTCTAAAAAATAAAATTAAAATATTGGCACTTGGCACATTTGTGTTTTATTTTGCACTTACCCAGATAGTTCATCAGTCTTTGAAATGAGATCTAACAATTGCTGCTGATGTTTCTTGTCAATGTCTCTAAGAAGATTGAACACAAGTATTCGGTTGTTGTTTGTGAGTAATTTTTTTATTGTGGAATCAAAATTGCTTTCTTTACACAAGTCGAGGGTACTACTGTAACATTTCCCATTAATATCTGGCAGTTTGTCCTCGAAACTACGGCTACATGGTCCGTCTTTTCTTGTAGTTGCGTTATAATTTCGTAATACTGATTGGGAAATGGTTAAAGGTGGAAGAGGGGTGGTAAAAGACGAAAATTTACTATTACGAGGTGTTGCAAATATTTCGAAAGGTTTAGATACTAAGAAGGTATTTGAAAGGGTCGACGAAACTGTAAACGACTTTTTCTCAATATATTCCTTCAATTTTTTCGCGCATTCGTGCAATGTTTGCTGCAACAAAAATAAATAAATAAATAAAGCTTTACATTACCTTGTACGAAAATGTAACAAATAAATAAAAATAACACTTACATTGTTTTAAAATTTTTACGTATACATTTTATTAGGTTTGGGACAATCACGATTATTTAATATGACTATAATTACTTTATTTGAAAAATAATTTTGAATTGATATCAAACAACTTTCCAGCTTATTTCACATCTTGTACCATTTTGTACTGGAAGTGGCTATTAATTTTTAAAAATTTCTTCAATGCAAAAGGTTACAAGTCTTGCAAGCCAAAAAAACCGGATTATTTAAATTATTGGGGGGCAGCAATTAATTTTTAAAAATTAACGTAAAATGGTTGCAACTGTTTTATTTAAACTCATATGTTGAATATTCTTGAAAAATCGAATTGTTCACATTGTTTACATGCATACACCGGCGCCGTTTTATATTGGGGGTGGTAATTATGTCTTAAAATATTTTCTGAAGACAATGAACGTGAAACGGCAGCAGCGTTTTCATTTGGAATCTTCAAAAATCTGACTGTTCTGCTTATTTCACACATTGATAGGCATACAAGTAATGCACTTTATTATATAAGTGGTAGTTATCAATTTTTTAAAGACTTAAAATAAAAACAAAACAGCTATCATGGGACCTTATGTATCGAAATTGCTACTTTTTGCAAATATGTAAAGATTTATAAATCAAATTCCGTGATAAATTAGTTTCTTTAATAACATTCAATACTTACAGATACTGCTTCTCTATTAGTAAACTCGGTTGACTCAACTGGTGTCAAATTTTTGATAAGATTAAGCATTTCTTCTGCTTTAGCGATGTCCTTCTTTAAATGTGCACTTTTTTCGTTATACAAGAACGTTTTTTCCTCTATTTCTTTATTAGTTTTCCTTATACCTTGTAGATTTACATCTGGTAATAAAATTAAATTGCTTTTAGCAACCTGATAAAAAGATCAAAATATAGCTACTTACATTTCATTTTATTTTGCAAATTAATTTCAATTATTTGTGTCTCTTTTACTTCAATTTGTTTCTCTACTTCCTCAAGTTTGCTTTGTAGTTCTTTCTTCTTTTTCCATATTTCTATTTCTTCTACAGGAAGTTTCACAAAACTCTAAAAGTAATTCATCAACAAACTTCACTTTCATAAAAATAATTGGTAATCAATTACCTCATCTAATTGCATTAGAATACTGTCTTCTTGTTCCTTTAATCTGTTTATTATTATATTTCTTCGCATAAACTCTATTTCTTGTTTCGGTTTTACCTTATCAATAATTTGTTGCCAAATAAACTGTGTAGCTGGATTACAAAACCTGAAGTAAGTTGTGCCCGTTTATTAAGTCTAATATTTTTATTTAAGCTACTAACATATTTCGTTTAAAAAAAACACTTACGGTTTTAATGATGTGGGCATTTCACCATCATATCCCATTTTTTTCATCCAATCTTCAATATTTTGGCAAGTCTCCATTTTTTGATTAGTTGAGTGGCGACTTTTGTAGTACACGGTCCTATTAAAAGTTTAATACTGTGTCAATTCCTGCATTTTGTTATATATTGTTTTGGGAAATAAATACATAAATAAAAAATTTAGTTTTTTTGCATTACCATTAAATTAACAAAAATAAAACTCTTTTTAAACCGTTACTTGGATTGTTTTTGATTTTAAATGAAAATGACTACGAAAAATGACAGATACTTAACGGTGACCTTTAACTCACTCTCGCTATTTAACCATGACAAAAGATTGTGTCAAAAGTATGTCATTGTTTTACAAAAATATAAAATAAGCTTTTTTCAACGATTAGTTAAATCAGAATAAGCTAATGTTCATCAAGTTCCAGTAAAAACTTTTTTAAACTAAATATTGAAATGTACATTTTTTTTGTCTGTTGTAGGATATTTTCATACGGTGAGCGTGTCATTAGCAACAATCAAACAATCAACGCAACAATGAATTTGTTCGTTGTTGTTTTTGAAAAATAATAATGTAACGTATTTTACATGTTTATCAATTTTACGTTAAAGTTTGAAGAATACTCAGATAAAATTATAATTAAAAAAATAAGTTGCTTGAAGTGAAGAAGGTAATAATTAATAAGTATTTAAAATAATTACTATTTAGTAGTGAATTTTTTTCAAAGTATCTTCTAAACTGTAGCTACGTATTCATTTACTTTATCAAATAGTTATTAATGTACAAAATTAGAAATGTCAACAAATTTTATTCAAAATATAGTCTAATTTTTCTTGGTCACTTAAATGTCTGTATTCATTCCAAAGTACCTGGAACAAATTACAAACATAATAAAAATTAAATATTCCTTTAAAATATGGTCGGTTTAGTGGCAGAAACTAATAATATGTCAACATGGGAACATTATGCGTTATTGCATTTAATCAAATACTTAAATCACTTATAAGAAGTATAGGAAGAAAGAAATTTGCGTTAAGTACTTACAATGACAGGAATATAGCCAATTTTTTCTAATTGTCTCCTTTTCATATTCATTAATCCAAGTACTTTCGTGGTATCTCTAATTGTACTGTTCCTACCGATTACACAAATCGCATACCATCTGCAATCGTCTCTTTTGGGGGGATACATTATATCGCCCAGTGTATAATTTTCAAATCCTTCGATTTTTATAAATTCCTCTCTTCTAATGTTTTTACAAATTATTATATCTACGATAAAAAACATTTTTTTATCTAAATGTTTCCATACGTTTACTTTATATAAAAAACAAATTACCAGATCGTGAAAAATGGGGCAGTATGTGATTAATAAAATAATGACTTTTATGAATTACAATTTTTGAGACTGTTTCTGTAACGTCAATGGCCAGCAAATCTGCTGCAGTTGGTTTTTTTGTTTGGCCCACAGAAGGTGTATACTCAGTGTTCCATTTTGTAACTTTACGCCTTACTTCTTTACTCAGCCGGTGGCCTTTATAATCAGGACATTCAATTTCAATACTCGGATCCAAACAGAACAATTCTCTAGGTATACTTTTTGGCGACTTACCTAAGAAAAAATGTTTACAGATAATTAAAAAGTTATGGAGAAAAGAGGATTGAAAAAAAAAACTAAAAGACACAGTTCGAATCAAAGCAGATTAAAGGAGATGGGCCTAAGAGTTACTGAAGAAATAAAACCTACAGCGGTATCTGACTCAAACGAAGAGACAATTTTTACAGACTACAACTTTACAATTGTTGCAAAGGACATTCAACAAATTGACATCTCAGATTCGAGCAGTAACAACAGTGACGATGTGGTGTTGAATATGCTTAAAGAAGATAAAACAAATACTGATTGTAATCCTAAAAGTTGTTCACAAATAACAAATAAAATGCAAGTCCTAAAAGAGAATGAACATTCAAATCGAAAGGATACGAAGAAAGGCGCGCATTTTTGGGAAAGCGAAGAACTCGTACACGATATAAAGACAACGTTAGAAACAAATACCTTTCAGGAAAATGAAGATTTCGAAAGCATAACAGAGAAACTGGCAAATAAAGCAACTGCAGTAAATCGTGACACAAAAATTGAGCAATTTCATGACGAAATTTTAACAATTTCGAAAATACTGCAGGAATACATAAAAAAAGGTAAATTTCTAATGTAGAATTAATTTTAATAATTCAAAAACTTCAATTCTTTTTTATAGGTATAACAGCAGTTTACACACCGCAAACAAATACAAACGATGTAATTAAAATTAAAATAGCCGCAAACTGTTGCTTAACAATGTTACATTTATTATGGGCATCGAATATTTTTAATTGTTTGTCATCGTCATACATCGATAAGAGCATGTTGCAAAACGTCGTGGACTTTATAAAGAATCAAATACGAACTACCATCATTCCAGAATATCAAAACTGTTCGAATAAACTTATCAAGCAACATGAAAACATTAAAGTGCATTTAAATCGGGCGACGCTAGCTATTTATCAGAAAATATGTGAAATAATTATGTCACTGTCCAAACTTATGGAAGGACCGATAATTTTGAACGATTATTACACAACGAGTTTGTTATTCGCTGTTTTTGCGGTCTTTCAAACGGAACATATGATTGAACTTCAAACAGTCTCTTTGCAAATAGTCGTTAAAATTTGTTCCAATACTTCTGAAGAGTCTGAAATTTCGCAGCTAATTACGAGAGAGCTCTTGTCTTACAATGCCCCACAAATTAGCGAAGATTATTATACTTTAAATCAATACAAACCACATCTTTACACTGTCCTGGTCTTACAAATTATACAGAGCAAATGTCATGTCTGTGAAAGAAACGTTTCTGGAAGACACATTAAAGATATTTTAAATGAAGCGATTAGTAAGCAACTGAGTACTACGAAATTCTGCTCGGAATTTATTAAACGATTTTTGGAAAAATCTGTTGCTAACAACGAAGGCTTTAGGACTCTTTTGAAGATTTTATTCAGGGATTTGATTGCGTTGTCCGATAAGCCTGAATGGCCTGCCGCTGCCTACGTAATCCAAGAATTGAGTAACATTTTAAACGACGAAAACACCGAAATCGAAATACGAACCGTTTGTATAGACTTTGTCGCGCAGGTTGTGGTTAAACTTAAAAGGTAATTTTATAAACTAACTTTTAAATTGTTTAATTACTGCAACTGTTACCTTTCAGCATCCTCACAACATTACAGGGTGAAGAACGTTTAAGAACAATTCTTCAGCCTGTTATAGAAAACCGAAACGAGAAAATGGTATTCCGTTTACAACAACACATTCTCGATTTTTTAGAATACGACTCCAACTGTGACGACGTGTATCATTACGCTCTCTTCTTTAATATGACTTTGTGGCTGAAAAATGATTTTCTACAATGGATTTGTGATTTAAGAAGCGCCAAGGGCAAACAATCGCACCGAAAAATGTCAGTGAAAGCATTAAAAAATAAAAAACCTACTCAATCTATTACACCCACACGTTTGATGCGTATGAACAAAATTATGAAGAGATTAACCGATTTTAATACAAGAAAAAACAAATCTAATTATGAGGATAATAACAACAATAAAAATTTGATTGATTACAAAACGGCCATTCTGATATCCCAGTGCATCTATTTTGGTTTCGATCTTTTAAACTGTTGCGACCGATATATTTCCGTTTTACGTAAAGTAATTAATGATGGCAATTCTGTCTCTGAAATTTCGAAGGCCCTCAAAGGAGCCACGATTATAACTGAAAAATTTCCAAATACATTTTCTCCATTAGAAATCAACGAGATCGTGAATCGATACGCGTTCGATACATCAGCAACAATCAAAGAATCGGCCATTAATTTACTCGGAAAATATTTGATGGGAAGTCCCAAACTAACAGACAATTATTACTACGAGTTGTTGTGCGAAAAGTTACGCAGTGAAGATGTAAATGTGCGTAAGCGTAGCGTTGACATTTTGAGAAAAATCCACAGTAAGATATCAAACGAGAATAATTTGTATCTGGTTCTTACTAAGTTTCACGAAGACGCGAAAATCTCGAAGGGAATTGACGACATTTTTGAAGAAAAATGGTTTACTTTATCCCAAGATCCGTTAGAAAGCGTGGTTGAAGTTGTGAAACAAGCTAATAATTTACAACTTAAGCAAATTAGAAGTATTTTCATACAAGTAAGTTTCAATCAACGTTTGTATCAATATAAAACAACTTGATTTGTATCTTTTTAGCTTTATAATCGCAAACAAGACGGAAGCGTAGAAACTAAAAAGATTAGAATGATCAATGAGGCAATGGATAAAACACTGGATCTGCTAAAGTCTTCTCGTTCAGATCTGTGCCTTCCGTATTTAGTGGTCCTTCATATGATTGCAAAAGCAAATTGTAAATTGATAGCTAAATTTGCCGAAGATATACATAACATGATTGATTTTAATCTAAGGTCGACCGATGCAGTAAAACTAATACAAAAATACGTTATAAAAATAATTAAACTGATTATTCCCGTTATCGGAGAACAAACAGATTTGATAAATGAAGTAGAAATGAAATTGTTGAGGGCTCTCGGATTTCTCGATGGTCCAGTAATCAAAAGTTGCGTGATCTGCTTGGCAAAATTGCTAAAATATACGCAAAATTATTCGGTTATCGCAAGAGGTTTTTGCATTAATTATAAATTAATCAGAAATATTGACAAAACTATCGAAAACGCCGAAGAGATCAAAATAAAAAGATCCCTAATCTTGGTCGGTTTATTGATACAAGTATTCGATTTCGAAGATTCGAATTTTATTGGCAGTACTGCAGTCATACATCAAAAAATTGTCGAAGAAGTCTTCCAGCTTCTCATTAGGACACTTAAAAAGAACGACAATAACTCCATAAAAAGTAACGTCCTAGAATGCCTCGGCCTGATATGTGTCAAATATGAAGACTTTTTGCTGAATGCCGATTTTCAAAACATCTGTTTTCAAATACTAAAGAACGAAGACGGTCTATCGAAACTCCAAATTTTGAAAATGTTCAAGTACTATTTGCATCGGCAGTTAGAAATGGAAACACATTCGATGCAAGGTAAAATAAATTGTAATTGCGTTCGCTGAATTTTCTTCTTAAAGTTTTTGTTTTTGCAGAGAAAAAATTCGTCGATATTAAAGAAATAGTTGACGATACTCTGGGAAAACCTTCTACAATAATACAGACGTTTTTAAAATGCATTTTGCGATGCGTTATAAGCACTGACTCCCTTATTCGTCAGGTAACCATCGAAATAATTCAACAAATACACCGACAGGGGTACGTTAATCCGGTGGAGATTATCCCCTTCCTCATATGTATGACTTTCGATCCGAACGAAATGATGTCCAATTTGGCGCAAAGCCATCTCTCGGAACTACAACTTAAATATCCGCACTTAATTAACTCGCAAAGTCTGTCGGGAATTACGCTATCGTTTGAGTTACTCAATAAACTTGGAGGTGCATCCTGTGTAACGAGAGGTTTGTTGATACCGGAAAATGGCCACTCTGTAAGAGCTGTTAATGATTTTCTTTACAAATTGCTGCAGCATTCGAAACGGCAGTGGAGAGGACTAACTTTAAGAGTCCTAAAACAATTTGACGAAAATAAAAAACACAACTTAGAATATTTAATTTTTTTAGCAGACAATTTGTCCGCCTTTTCGTATAAAACGCTGGATGAAGTGTATTTTACTATTTATTACATTAACGAGTTATCTATCCAATACGGCGCCAATACATTGCGCACAATAAGAAACAAATTGAATGATAAGCTTCAACAAAAAAAAGCAATCGAAAAGAATCTTTTTAAGAATAAAAAACTAATACTTGAACTGTTTTCAAATACTGTTATCGATACTAAAAATTATATTTACAAGTTTCACGTTTACAGTTTATTATTTCAATTGAAGAATTATTTAATGAAAAAATACGGTGTCAAAGATGTAGACGTCAGGGGATATTTACCATCGATCCTTTTAAGGACGAACGAAAATGCTATTTGTGAAATTAACTACAAGCCATTTAAGCCTGAGGACGTTTTGAACGCCTGCCTTGAAGAAAAAAATAATTCCACAAATCAAGCTGGAGTCAAAAAGGAACAAGTACAACAACTGAAAGAAGATTTCTTCAAAAAATTCTGTGCTTTTCAAAAGTGTGTCAAAACGGACGAAGGTGACGAAGAGGAAGATGAAAATTAGAAAAACAATTATGTGTGTGAATTATTGTAAAAGTCTTTTTAGAAATATATTCTTAGTTTATCAGTATCGCTTGTCCACATCTTCTTTTGGAATTATACTCATTAACAAAAAAACACTTACCAAAGGTTTCGATAATAAAGTCTGGATCCAGAATCCTGTTCATAAGTTCATAGGAATAAATGCCTTTAATACTAAGATAATGTAGAATACAGGGCAGGCATTTAGGATGTCTAATTATTTCGGTTAATCTTCGTTCTTGGTGGATTTCGTCATAAGCCGCTTTGAACACATCAGGCTCGGTTTTTGGATGTAATTCGAATGTGGTTAACACCAAAAGTAACCGTTCGATGTCTTTTAAGCGAATTTTATCGACGTCACCAAAATCTTTCACCAATTTTCGGGAAACCTTTGATACAGACTTCTCGTGAAGAAGCTGAAGATTTGTACCCAATAGGGCTATGTGTAAGCACGACAAATTCGATAGTCGGTCGACCTCTTCCGTTAAAACGTCTAGCAAGTCCGTAAACTTTTCTGACAAAGTTGGAGTACTCGAAAGGCGAAGTAACTAAGTTTTGAATGAAAATATAAAAGTGTATATATTTAGTCATCCAAAAATTAATTATTAATTCAGAACACCCTGTATGTACTTACTTTAAGAATGGCACTAAGCGAAATGTCTTTTATTTTCGAACGTTCCCTTTTAATTTTACGTATAAAATTGTTTAAAATAGTTTTGGATTGGATGGGAGTTCGACTTTTAAAAAAACCCATCGACACAACGGCCATTTCGTCTATGCTGAATGAATCGATGTAGTCTTCTAATTGAGACTCAAAGTCTTTTGCAAATTCAAAATTGCGACAAAGGTTCAAATAAAAGCACGTACAGATTAAGTGCGTGCCGTTTAATTTGCTACTGTTTTCATGTAGATATTTAACAAATTGGGAATTATAACGACTTATCCTACCTGAAATATCAAATATAAACGTGTATTATCTAAATAAGTTTACAATTAAAGCGACAGTTGATGAAATGGCCTTTTTTATTTTTTTTCTGTAAGGATTTGTACCAATTTTTGCATTACATAAAAATAATTAAATATATACTGCATATACAATATATATGTATAATATACAGGGTGCTCTTAAACAGTACATAGTTAAGTTTTTCCAAAAAATATGTACATACTTACTTGACAAATTGATTTGACAGTGGCATCATTAACAGTTTTCGCTTCTTGTTTTAATCTCTGTATCAATTCCGAGCAAAAGACAGATGACTTAGTGCTTGTCTTGCAAAAGTTAAACGTAGTTGCACAAAGAGCCATTTCATCAATTGTCATTTGTTCACAATAACGATCTAGTGCGTCTCTCAACTCAAAAGGCAATTGACGTCGTTTGTTCACTTTTAGGTAAAAGAATGCGATTATTAATTCTTCTTTTGTAAGTTTGTCTACTTTTCGTATTAATTTATCAATCATTTCAAAAACAAAATCGCTTGGTCTTGCTGAAACAATATTACAACAGTTTTCTTCACATTTTATGAAAGTGCAGTTTTTTTCAAATACTTGCAAGAAAGTTCTTATAATCATTTAAACTGTTGTTTTCGGTATAATAAGGATTACATAATACTATAGTTTGAATAATACAGACCAACAATTTACTCACCAAGTCTAAGGTTATACCATAACTCAGCAAAGTGAAACATCTTTTCTAAAGTCCATGTTGGTAATTTCCAACAGCATAAATCATCTAGAGCACTCCAAATATCATGAAAATTATGTGATTTATGCGAATCAGTAGAAGGGTATTTGGTTAAGCATTGTAATAACTGTGATAATTCCTCATCATTTATGTGCTCCACATGATCAACCAAACCATCAACTAGTTTATCAAAACGAGGATCCGCTACTGTAATGTTATTATTGACACAGTAATCTAAACAATCAATGAAACACTGTATTATTTCTGAAGCTGTTTTGGATCTCCATTCCTGATTCAAATGACCATTAAACTTCTCTAGAGATGAAATGGCTTCGTTGGGACTTTTCAATTGAAAATTTTCCAATCTAGGCAGCGATATTTTTTTCATAACTTGAAAAGCAAAATCATTCTCATGCTCAGTAAACAACTTCGAGGTTAAAAACGTCGACACACTAAACGTTCGCCTTTGTTCAGAAAAAATTATGACGCTTGTATATTTTGGCTTATTATAAACAGAATAATTAGTTAATTTCAATTGCGCTTTATTAAAAGTTTTTAAAAGTACACTTCTGAAATAGTCCACTACAAACTGCGTTGGCATCAAACGGTACATTGTATTAATTTAATCAATGTAAACTTCTCGAAATTTATGTTATTCATTCGTATTAACCACGTATTAACAATTAAAAAGTTAAAACAAACTTTAAACAATCTAATTTCCACTCATTTCTTACAGTACTACTTAACCTCTAAAATTTTAAAACAACTTTCCACAGACAAGGTAACCAAGGTAACTCCTAGAATATCCATAGGTAGTAACCATCGACGTTTACTAATATATGTCTATGGTAGTAACAGTAACTCTGTACATCTATACAACCCATAGATAAAAGAATAGATCAATAGTAGTTCATTTGTACAAATAAAAGCAATCTGTCATAGAGAATATAACAATTTCCATAGAATTATAAAAATTATGACTAATCATTGATATCATCGTTGATAATTACACCGTAAACACATATACACATAATTTCAAATAGTTAGGTTAGTTTAGATTAAATAAGAAGTATTGAGGTGTGTCCCTCATAAGTTAAATAACTAAGTTTATAAACATAAAATGTCTGCAACATTACGACCGTATTTAGCAGCTGTTAGACACACACTTACGGCTGCTTTATGCTTAGAAAATTTTTCATCGCAAGTGGTAGAGAGGCATAATAAACCTGAGGTTGAGGTTAGATCTAGTAAAGAACTCCTACTAACTCCGGTGATAATTTCAAGAAACGAAAAAGAAAAGGTACATAGAGCAAACATTGTTTATTACAGAGTTCTAAATGCTGGATATTTTTCAATTTTGTTTAGGTGCTTATCGAATCTTCTATCAACTCTGTTCGCGTTAGTATATCTGTGAAGCAAGCCGATGAGATTGAGAAGATTTTGTGTAAGAAATTCATGCGTTTTATGATGATGAGAGCTGAAAATTTTATCATAATGAGACGCAAACCCATCGAAGGATATGACATAAGTTTTCTTATAACAAACTTTCATACCGAACAAATGTTTAAACACAAACTGGTCGATTTTGTGATCCATTTCATGGAAGAAATAGATAAAGAAATTTCTGAAATGAAATTAGCTGTAAACGCAAGGGCTAGAATAGTATCGGAAGAATTTTTAAAGCATTTTTAGTAAGTGTACATTAAGCCTAAGTATTATTTAAATGTAAATAAATCAAAGTTAGATAGATAATAGGTACTACTCTTCAAAAGCATGTTATCACTCTTCTTAAAGGACTTATAACAAACTGAGCAAAGCCAATCTGTTTCATTAGCAATAACATTGACTTTAGTCACAGCATCGTAATTTTTATTCTATTTTCGTTTGATAAGTACGAACAGTTATAGCACTATTAGTTATGTATTGCTTGCGCTGTCGCAGTTATTTTAAAAACGTTTATTATGCATTTAGTAAATCGTGGCATTGTGATAACGATTTGTTTTGTATATTGTATTGCAAATGAAAAAACAAATGTGACATAGAAAATCACATCATATGTCTTCCCAATTTTGAAAAACTAACACATAATTTAATTGTTTTAATTTACAACTAGTGAAAAACAAGTTCATTAAGCTAATAATTAAAACAAAAAATTATCTAAACCTTTTCATTGGGTTAACATTCCTTGTTTGCTACAAAAACATTAATTATTAATAAGCCATAAATCCCTTAATAAAAATAATAACGTTAAAAAGTGCAATGTAATTTTGTAAAAGTTTTGAACGTAAAAGAATTCAGAACTAATAAACATTTTTTTCATTACTAACAGAAAAGAAATTAAGCCAAAATTATCAAGTCATTTTAAATATTTAATAATAGGAAATGTTATGTTTATATAATAATCTAACGCTACTTTTGCAAACTAATTCGTAATTGTGTAATTATCTCTATTTTTCTTTTAGTAAATTTAAATGCATTCAAATGTGTGTCTTGTATAATTGTGGTTTATTTTTATATTTTTGTTAATAAAAAAAGTATTATACAATCAGAATAAATTTTTTCTCTGTCGTACTTTCAGTTTTTTATTTTACATTTACTAAAATATTAGCAAAAACAAAAAACGATAATAAAATTGAGAGCTTGTATTTAAAGAATTACTAATTATTTTTAATATCACAGAGTCGTCTTTCCAAACAAACATAATCAATATCGCGTATCAATTATGATGATACAAAATTTTTTTACTCGATGAAAGCAAAAACTGTAATACTAACAATTTTGGACAATTTTACTATTTAAACGTACAAGAATTCAGAATATATACCCAGCAGTATAAAACGAATATAAAATGTAAAAAAAATATATTTTGCTTTTTAAAAGAAACTACTGTATGAAATAACTTGGAAAAAATTATTGTGATTTCCCGAAAATAAGATAAAACGTTGTATATTTAAATTAAAAAAAGTATAATTATTTTTATCTAACGATGGCGTTAATAAGTATATATTTTATAACCACCTATTAAAAAACTTAAGGCGCCAGAAAATGGGATAAAACAGACGAGTAATAAAAATTATAATAAAAAAAAAGAATAATTAATACTTTAGTACCTTTGATAGTTAGTTAGCGCAGTGTGGTCCGTTCACAGGAAGTCCATACATAACATGATTG